TTGTCACTAGGTAGGTCTGAGGCAGGGCCCCTAACGAGGACAAAGCTCAGCTTGGCCCGGGGAGGCCCTTGCAATCTCATGGGGCAGAGTCTGTGGGGCAGGTATTCCAAGTCTGCTTTTGGAAGATGGCTTTGGAGAAGTCATTACTGTAGGCAGGGACAACCTGGTCACGCTGAGGGAACTGTCTCTGCTTGGGACAGCCCCAGTCTTTTGAAGGTTCTGCTGGAGTCCAAGGTTTAGAACAACGAATCAAGACTGCTAGGTGTCCAGTGGTAGCTGACTGCCCCTGAAAATCTCTTTTCTTGATGTTCTCAGTGTTGAAATTACATGAGACGAGCTGTATAAATATAGGACTTATTAGTCTTGTGTTACCTGCTTTTAGACAGATGTTCCCTAAATAAAGGTGGTTTAAGCCTCCCTTGCAAGCCCAAGGACCTGAGTTCGATCCCCTCTACTGCATGCCATGCTGCCCATGGAATGATGAAGGTCGCATGCCATGCTGGACATTGTACCGGCCAGCAAAACTCAGGACAGTGGCACCCTATGTAATCCCAATGCTGGAGAAGCCTGTAATCCCAATGCTGGAGAAGCTGAGACAGGAGGATCACTATGAGTCTGGGCTGTGTCTCGAGACCTGGTATTAAACAAATAAATAATGCATGGATATAAAATGAAATTTTCCAGTTTTAACTAAAATTATACGTCCAGATGAAGAATCACCCTTGTTTAGCAAAAGTAAAAGTAGTTTTAAGATCCTGGCTGCTTCAGAAGGAAACAGCCATCACGCTTTTAAATGAATAACCACTTAAGGGTCTGGGAGGGAGTCTGTCCTCTGTCACTGTGGTGATCTTCATCTTTGGACCTTCTGGATCGGTGCTCAGCTCTTAGGGATCTGGAGGGTCCTTCAGAGTCCTGGCAGCCTCACCTCTCTGTGTAACTGTGGGCGCATTTACTGTATTATTCACCGTAGAGTGTGGTCACTAGCTTCAAGGTTCTGGATAGTTTTACTTATTTTTTTCCCCCTTCTCAGCTTCTGGACTTTTTTTTTTGGCAAAAGCAGGGATTGAACTCAGGCCCTTGCGCTGGCCAGGCAAGCGCTTATTCTACTGAGCCGTCTCCCCGGCTCCTTCTGGACTATTCAATGCACAGACGAACCGTGTGTGACTGTCTAGCATGGTTTTGCAGGCTGGAGCCACAGACTACCAAGGCAAGTGGTGCCCATCACATAAATGTGGCCAGTAGCATCAGTGTAACAGTAAGAGTGAAAGAGCCAGGTACAGAGGCTGCCATCACAGCTTCTCTGGTGGGGGCCGGGGAGATGGCTCAGCGGAATAAGCACTTCCCTGGCTAGTGCAAGGGCCTGAGTTCAATCCCCGGTTCCACAAAAAGAGAAAAAAAAAATACAAGAGTGGCAGATGCACATGCACAGCTTCTGTAGTGATGGGAGCATGGAGACCACTTGAGCCCAGGAGTTTGAGACCAACCTGCTTAACAGAGCGAGACGCTTCCCTAAATAAATACTACATAAATAAAAAGTTCATGGGTATATAAATAAATGTCAAAGGCATATTGCCACACCGACACTATTTGGCCAGCAAATAATTTCAGTGCAAGTGCTAGGTTGTCATATTTAGTGTGTGTGTGTGTGTGTGTGTGTGTGTGTGTGTCCGTGTGCACCCATGTGCACCCAAGTCTATCCAGCCAGGGCTCTCACCCAGGCCCTCTCACATGCTAGATAGAAGCTGTGCCTGTGAGCTGCATGAGCAGCCCTACCCCCCTACACTTGGTGGCCTCAGGTTGGGGCCATCTCTAGGAGCTCTGAGAATTGCTGTGTTGCAATGTAACAGGAACACCAAGCAGCCCCACCTCTGTGACATTCGAGCTGGGGATGGAGTCTAAGACTTGGAGTAATACCTCTCAGAGGGCAGCAGAGCATATGCAAAAGCTCCCCCGAAGAGTGCGACAAGTGTAGGTCTCGTTGACAGCCCACTTAGAGAGATGGAGTCTTCTACAGATGAGACTGGGTCCACCTTCTCAGGAGAGGAAAGTGCAGAAGGGAAGGAAACAGAATATGGACCCGTGTTGAAGTCCTTAGCACAGGGTGCAGGACCCACTGGCCTGATTGCTGTAGGCTGCAGGTCTGCAGGCCACGGCTAGAAGAAAAGATCCTCAGACACTGGCCTCAGCTGGTCTCTGAGTGGGGCTCAGCTCATGCTAACCCTGAGTCTCTAGGAGGAGCATTTCTGCTTTTACTCTTGAACAGTGAGATGAGATTAGGTTGGGACTGGGGCCTACTCCCATGGGTGTGGCTCTTGGAATACCTGACAGGATCCAGCTCCACTCAGCGTAAACCGGGGGAGACCCACAGTGTGTTTGATGAGCCCCCATTGGCCCCGGCAAAGCCTAACACTGCACCGGAGGCCTCAACTCCTACTTTTTTTTTTTTTTGTATTTTTTTTAAGGAAGGGCCTACAGGGTGTTCAGGGTCTCACTACTAGCTCAGATTCGTAGTGATTCGCCTGTTTACTGCCTCCCAAGAGCTGGGATTATAGGCGGGTGCCCCCATGCCCAGTCTCAATTGCCTTCTCAGCGGGCCCCTGGGGCGGGGCCAGCAAGGCAGGCCGGGGGATTAAAACCTGGCCCTTCTGTCTGCTTGCAGGTGCTTTAGTCAGCTGTCAATTCCCACTTTTATCAAATCATCCAATCAATACATGAAGAACACATCAATACATGAACAGTGACTCCGCTTCGACATGCTTTTCTACTTTTCTGCGCTTTAAATTTTATATTTGATAATGGAAGAATCACAAAGATGCATTACAATAATCACAATAAAATAAAACCACAATAAAAAGTACACAAACCTCACAGACCCACCCTGGGTGGCCTACAGCCTGTGGGCATCAGGTGGCTGCTCCTGACTTTGCTCCGAGCTTCTGCCTGTTGTACTTTCTCATTTCCAGCCCTGCTTGTGGTGCTCCTCATCCTGTTTTTGACCATTCCTGGGTCTGCTGCCATCCGTGTGAGCTGTGTGCGCACGATGAGCCCAGTGGCTCTCTTTCTGAAAGGCTGAGGTGTGCTGTGAGCTTTCTTTCTGGTCTCTGCCCTGCTAACACCCACGTGGTGGTAATGAAGCCATGGCTACCCTGTGTCCAGCTCTGGCCTCATCTCACGCATATCATTTCCTAGATCAAAACCCTTGCAAAAACCGTAGTTCACGTATTACCCCAGATTCATTCCTCATTTTTTCTGAACCATTGAATAGCTTGACAGACAGACAGACAGACAGATTGACAGATAAAAGGACTATTTGAGGATCTGTGGAACTGTGTAGCAAGATAGGTAAGTCGAATCTATTTTGGCTAAATAGGTTTGTATGAATTATTAGGAGTTGAAGCTGAAAATGTTGAGAATGAGAGAGAGAGAGAGAGAGAGAGAGAGAGAGAGAGAGAGAGAGAGAGAGAGAGAGAGAGAGAGAGAGAGAGAGAGAGAGACAGAGAGGCTGAATCGCTAAAGTGTCATTGTAGGACTCAGGTCCTTCTTGCCAACATCGTTCAGCTATATGAGAAGGGTTTCTAATCTTGTACAACTGAAATCTGTTTAGAAACACTGGGAATCCTGTATCTGAAGTTATATCATTGAGCAAAGAATATATGAAGATACGTTGCTGAGAGAGAGAGAGTGAGCAACGTAGGGTGCCTGCCTACAAAGGAATCTGATCATCTAAAAGTATTTATTAAACATGGAGGGAACAAAGTGCTGTCCCATTTAGCATCCTGAAAAGCATCGTTTTCATGGAAAGAAGCCAGGAACAAAAGATGACACGTTGCACAACTCTGTGTATGTGAGATGTTCAGAAGAGGTAACTCATAGAGACATCTTGGTAGCTTCCAAGGATGTGGAGGAGGAGAGAAATGGAAAGAGAAATGGAGACACAGCTTTCTTTCTGGCCTGATGAAATCGTTCTAACATCAGATAGTGATGTCAGTTTCACGGCCTTGTGTGTGCACTAATATCATTGAATTACATGGTTTCAGTGAGTGGATTTTATGGTATTTGAGTTCTCAATAAATCTGCCTATAAAAGTTTAGAGATCGTAACATAGAAAATAGGCCAGTTTTTCTCTTCTCTTGAAACTTGAGAGAGCTGAGGGTCGTGTATCCTCCATGTTGGGTGTGGTTACTACCAGCTTTCCCGAGCACCCCCGCTATTAGTACAATCTGACTGCAAATATCACAACCAAAGCATGCCCCATGTCCCAAATCGTATGTGGGTGAAATCCTTGCTACCAAGTAGAGATTCTAATGTTCAGGTCAGCGAATCACTTTCCTAGTGCTTGAATGAAGGTAAAACCATGCCAACTGGTTTTTGTATGCATCCACAGTATGGTGTACACTGTTCATATAATTTCAAAATCATGCATCGACCTGCTCACCAAGAGTGTCTTGTAGCGAGGCGTAACCCGGGTTTCTTTTGGTCATCCCGTGACCAGGTGCATGGCATACTGCCATTATGCATGTTTGCACATTGGTAAAAGTGGACCAAGGAGACCTCCTCAATCCAGTGAATAGAAAGGAGAAGGCTTGTCACTGCGGGTCTGACACCCAACCTCAGACTCTTATTAGAAACTAGGTGAGACCAAAGCTTCCAAGATGCTCAGTTTGTAAACTTACCAAGTCTGCTTCCTGAGGAATAAATTTCTGAAGTTCATTTTCCTGTAGGTCTGTCTTTCATTGCCCAGCATGCTGAATGTGGCTCAGACTCCCTTCCCTTTTACAGCATGGAATCTTTATTAAAATTTTATGTCTTTCTGTCATGAACTCAATGACGGAGCAGGCTTTCCATTAGAGGTGTTTCCGATGTTAGAAAGAGGGAAACGCATCAACCTTGCAAGATGGTCTTTTGTTATGCAAATATTTCAAACCAGTATGCACATGTGTGTGTGTAGCTTTCAACTAGGGAATTATTTCATGGATTGATGTCTCCTTTTCTTTTTGCAGAACAATGGGTCCCTGGTTTGGTGCCAGAACCACAAGCAGTGTTCTAAGGTATGCCCTCTAAAATTACCTATGAGAAAATGGTTAAATGCTATAAATTTTAGAGTATAGGTTCACAGGATATTGGAAAGATGGTGGAGAGAATTCACATACTCCATTTCTGCTAGTGATCATATTTTATTTAACTGTAGAACAAGAGAACACTCTAGGCATGGTGCTGCACACTGATAATCTCAGCAGTTGCAGGCTGAGGCAGAGGGATCGCTGTTAGCTCGAGGCAGGCCCGGGTTACATAGTGAGTTCAAGGCCCAACTGAACTACATAGTGAAATCCTGCCTCAAAGAAAAAAGAGAAAAAGAGAGAGAGAGAGAGAGAGAGAGAGACAGAGACGGGGGGGCAGACACAGACACACACACACAGATGGGGGAGAAGGAGGGAGAGGGAGACAGAAACAGAGAGACGGAGAGAGACAGAGACAGAGAGAGAAAGAGAGATAGAGACAGAGACACACAGACAGAGACAGAGAGACGACAGAAATGAAGACAGAGACAGAGACAGAAGAGAAAGAACAAAATATATGTTGGAATAATGCATGTACATAAATGTATTACATTTTATCGGTTGGATAGATCACCGCACTGTGATTAAGATACAGGTATGCATACTTCTGTGTACTACCTTATTTTCTCGTTAAAAGAAATTCCTTCCAGTTACGCCAGACTATTTAGTGGATTGCACTTACACCTACATTGTTTTGTATGTTGTTTGCTAGGCTTACAGGACTTGGTTGCTAAGTAACTTTATTCTTTGATCAGTTTCTTTTGTGCTTTTGGGCATTCCTTGCGGTACACATACATGTACTCTAAGGTTTGTCATTATCTGCGCTCACAGGCTTGCTAAAGTACATTTCTTACACAGTCCCAAAACATCACGAGTTTACTCACACACACACACACACACACACACACACACACACACACACACACACTCACACAGTGGTGAGGCTGTATTTTATCTAGTGAAAAATGTACTCTATAGATGAATAAAGTTTACAAAGCATCCTAAAAATAACCAGAGCAATTTTGGGGTCAGAGCAGTATTTACAAAGCTCTATTTCATAAATATTACTATTAGGGCTAAAGTTGAACATTATTTCACAGCTAAAACTCTATCTGGGAAATACATGATATATACTACTGAAATATATTTTGAAGAACTTCCTTACTTTTTTTTTTTTTTTGGCGGAACTGGGAATTGAACTCAGGCCCTTGCGCTTGCCAGGGAAGCACTTATTCCACTGAGCCATCTCCCCAGCCCCATTACTTTCAGATGCCTTTTAGATGCATTATCAGAAGGTAAATGATTCCAGAATTATATTCCTCAACCAAAAATCTTGCTCATAATGATGCATTTCTACAATTATGCCTACTTTATCCATTTATTTTATTTTTGCAAAACTGGGGATTGAACTCAGGCCCTTGCACTTGCCAAGGAAGCGCTTATTCCACTGAGCCATCTCCCCGGCCCCCTTATCCATTTAATTAATGTGAATGTTATTTAAAAACTAAAAGGGCACTGGAAAGACAGCATGGTAGTCTAAGCACCTGCTTGGCAAGCGCAAGGGCCTGGGTTTGGTCCCCAGTAACGCATACCATGCCGGCCCAGATCCATGCAAGACTCTGAAACTGAGTGTGGTGGCGCAAGCCTGTAATCCCAGAGCTGGGGAGGCTGAGACAGGAGGATCACTACGAGTCTGAGCTGCATAGCGAGACCGTATACCAAATAAATAATTAAATAAAAGATTTTTTAAAACATTAAAAAACAGAAAACTGAACGGTATTTGTGAGTAGATGTGAAATGATTTGGTGAATGTGAATTTCATCTTTCTCACAGTTCTGGGAGTTGAACCCCGGGACTTTCAGGCTTGGCAAGTGCTCTAACTACAGTACCTCGTTCCCATCTACTTTTCTATCCTATGAGTCTTAAGGAAAAATGAAATTCCTGCTTCCTGATGCATTTACTTGTTTATATAAAAGGTTAAGTGTTTGCTTTGACAAGACATTTTGTAATAGCTAATATATGGATTGTTCTTTAAGTTAAAGTGTGGGTAAATTATGTCAGATGAAGTTTTGAAATTCATGCATACACACATATATACATATACATAATATTTAAAAAAAATATATATACATATTACATACATACAGTACACACACTGCATGAGGTTGAGCAAATTCCATGAGGATTGCATTATTTTGGTTCCATTTGTATAATTGGGTATTAACATGAGTGATAATTTGTTACATCAATATTGTTTTTCTTTACACCAATTTTCTCCTTAGCCTGCCAAGAAATTAATTATTTTTTACAGACTTGAAGGTAATATGAAAAGTGAGGTTCATTTGTGTTATTTTTAAACATTGCAATGAAAGAAAATTGCAACCCTGGGATCATAGATTGTTAAACCACGTTTTGAAATGGATTCATGAAAGCCGAAGCGAGCCTTCGAGTTTCATAAGAAAAGCAATCAATTCTGCTTTGCCTGAAATCAAGAATCGATCCGCAAGTCACGGCTCACTCCGTCAGAAAGTTTGGAATACATTATAAGAGGCTGACACAAATTTAAGAGTTGTGTTTTATCGGGGGTCCGTGGGGACCGCTGGGCGGGCAGCTCACACATTAATGAGGCTTTCTCCTTTGAAATCCATTGCAACTAGATATGTGTGTAGAAAATGGCAGAGTGTGTGTGCATGTGTGCGTGTGTGTGTGAGAGAGACTGGGGCTAACGAAACCCTGAGGAAGTTTTTCTTCTCAGTTCTTAGATCATTGAGGAGTATTTGAGGAGTGGGAGTTCGATTTCACAGGTAGGGAAATTGAGGCGTGGTCATACTCGCTAGATAGTCGTGCGATCCTTGAGCAAGTCAGGTGGAGCACACTAAGGCGTGAGTCACTCACTGTTCCTAATAGGACGTCACCTATGGATAAACGACTTTATATTTATTTATCGTATTTTAGGGAAGGGGTCTACGGGGTGTTCAGGGTCTCACATCTAGACTGGGCTCGTAGTGATCTGCCTGTGTTCAGCCTCCCAAGAGCTGGGATTACGGGCGCCCGCCTCCACACCCAATCTCAATCGCCATCTCAGCGCGCCATGGAGGTGGGGCCGGCATGGGAGGCCCCAGGGATGTAACCCCTGGCCCCTGCGCCTGCTTCTAGGTGCTTCAATCCGCTGAGCTATTTGACCGGCCCTAGGATAAGCAACTTTAAACGCTATTTATTTTTTCTTTTCTGTTTTCAAAAAGAATATTGATAGATATTTGCCACACATAAATTTGCATTTCCTGTGTGGAGCTGGTGCCTGTGTGTTACATATCCTAATCCTTTCGTTCACCCCATCTCCTCTCCCCCCTCCCATCCCTTTTCCATTTGAAAGACCTATCTACTTCTGTTATCTTTTTTCTCATTTATAGTTAGGGTTTTTTTTTTTTTTTTTGTTTTTGTTTTTTAATGTATTTGGCACAAGGTCTGCAGGGTCTCACTACGTAGATCAGACTCATAGTGATCTGCCCGTGTTCAGCCTCCCAAGCGCTGGGCTTACAGGTGCGGGCCACCACGCCCAGTCTCAGTTGCAGCCTCAGCGTGCCTTGGGGGCGGAGTCGGCTTGTGGCATGCCGGGGATGGAGCCCCGGTCCTTGCGCTTGCCTAAGCGGGTGCTTTAGTCCTCTGGGCTACCTGGCCGGCCCTGGGGAGGCTTCTGTAAGAGAAACCACGTGATTTCAGTTGCCCCCAGGTTTTCCTACAAACAAGTGGAGTTCATCTTAAGTGATGGCAGAAAACTGCTCCACACAGTGTGAATACCATGTGTTCCTTCTCCCTTCATACGCTCATGGCCTTGTATGCTGCTGCTGCCGCAAGTAGCTCCCGTGAGTTGTGCTGCTGTAAGCATGCATATGCATGGATGACGGCAGTGAGAAGATACCTCGGAGGGAACTGGCTGGGTCCAGAGGAATTTCTGTTCTTGGTTTTTTGAAGAATCTCCTTACTGATTTCCACAGTGGCTGCACACCTTTACGCCAACGCCAGCAAGGTAGAACGCCCTCCCGCCACAGCCTCTCTGGTCATTGCTTTTATGTGATTTATTGATGCTTGCTCTTCTTTCTGGGGTGAGATGGCACCTCAGGGTTGTTGTAGTCTACATTTCTCTAATGGCTAACAAAGTTGAGATGAAATGCCAGCAAAGCAGAGTTCCTTTGCTACCTATGTGACTTGTCAAAATCTGCTCTTTTTCCCAGGCTGCGTCCCACAGAATGGAATCAGCACCACACTCTCAAAGGGTTTTAGGGGCTCACTACATACAGGATTTCATGCCTCCTCAGATGCCTTCTGTCGTGGGTGAGACAGATTGTGCTTGGCCTCTGAATCCAGTCTTTTCTCTTTCCCGCAGACTAAACCTAACAAAATACTAACTAAAGCCCAATTCCTCACCTGAGGGTGTTGCTAAACTGAATTACTGTCTCAGTTAATTTTCTTTCATAACTTGGACAAAATGCCTGGTACCCAGAATTAAGGAAGAAAGGTTTATTTAGCTCACAGTCAGAAGAGGTTTCGGTCCATACTCGGCTGGCTCCAAGGCAGAGCGGCACACGGCAGAGGGCAGCAGCTCATGGTAGCGGAAAACAGCAAAGAGCACAGGGAGGGGCGGCAGCAGCAGAGGCAGAGGAAGCCTTGCTTTCTTCCAGGCTCTCTGCCCCAGGGTGGGTGAGGCACTCACACCCATAATCCCAGCAGCACTCAGACCCATAATCCCAGCAGCACTCACACCCATAATCCCAGCAGCACTCATACCCATAATCCCAGCAGCACCCATGCCCATAATCCCAGCATTAGCTCACGAATTAATCACAAATTCCAGAACCCACCCCATGACTACATGAGGCTTTGGGGGGATAGCTAGACATAGACCATAACAGGGACCCATCTGTGTTTCTACAAGCTCCCTTGCTGCAAACCATGGCCTTAAAACCAATTTCTAGCCCACTAAATGCAATATA